TCAAGGGATTGAGGAATGAAAAATACATCAAGCAATGCAAAATGTATTAGACACAGCAATTAGATCTTTCCCTTCACATAAAAAAACTGTCACACTGCATTTATCAGACTTGCCGTTGAAACAAAAAAAAAAAAAAACAGCTTCAACATTTAATGACATCTACAACTAAGAGTATTTTAACATTTATAGTCACCACAGGCATTTATACAGAAATTTCTCATATAAATTAAATTATGAAGTCCATGCAACCATTATGTGACTTTTTTTAAGGGGTGGGAATGTTTTGCTTTTTAAAATCCTAATGATTTCTGCAATACTGGAGTGCAATGAGAAACCTGGCATTTCACCAAGACAATTTAGCAATAAATACACATGTGGATAAGTTAACAAAACAGAAATCAAGCAGAAAGAGATGCAGCACTACTAATACGTCACATTCCAAAGCCACTGGATCTGTTCATTTAAAAGCCAAACCTATGCTTGGCCATTGCCTGACCAAGTTTCAGACAGAAGTAGTTCAGTGTGCTCAAGAGGGCAACTCAAAGGTCGTAGGAGGACAGCCCACAGGGAAGACTAGCAGTTCCTCCTATTCAGAAAGGTCAAAGACATTTTCTAGCATTAACTTTGAAAAACTGTGTCAATTACATCAATCTCCTTCCAGACTTTTCTGTGAAGGAAAAAGGACATTCTAAACGTAAATCTATCTACCTTCTGTTTGTCAGGAGTCCCTCATGAGAGGCCTGTTCTCAACAGCTCCACCCACTCCGGTTTTTAGTTTGCAGCATTAGTTAGTTGCTGGGGAAGTGTTGAAGCAGATGAATGCTTCAGATGCAGGAAAAACTGCATGCGCTGAAGTCGGTGGACTTTTAAATTATTTCATCCTTTTTGACTGCACACAGGTCTTTCAAGTTAACCTCTGGTTTTGGATGAAGTGTGGAAAAAAAACTTGCGATCTCAGTCTGTCTTCAATGTTTCTATGTACCAGGAATTAGGAGATTTAAATCCCCAAGATCAACATTATTTCTCCCTTCTGTCCCCCCAATTTCCTTCAACTGTATTTCCCACTGTAGCTTCAGTCTCAGAAATGTCCAGACATGCAGGCTTTCAACAACTAACCTGCCTATGAATTAAAAAAATTTAAGTGTAGTTTTTTCTTTTTTTCTCCCCACTCCCAAACGATCTTTCATCCGGGTAAAACTGCAAGCAATGGTTCCAAAACATCCAACAGAGAAATAATACTGACAATGTTTTCTCCTTTCACCCTTGAATTCATTTACAGCTTTGAAACAGAAAAGCATCCTCTGGACTTCAGAGGAAACCCAATAAGTGTATGCATCACACACAGGCAGCATCCAGACCCAGGTGGAGTTATTCTGATTACACAAAACAGTCTCATTTATAGCTAGAACTTACATGAAACCAAAATTCATCCGTAGTATTCAAGCAGTAGAAAACTATTTAAGAGGAGCCACCCTTTCAAAACTAAACCTAAAGTTTTACTCCAGGAAGGTATTTTCTCCACTGCTTATAGTGAACACAGTTTTAAAAATATCATTCTACATGGAAATGGCGCTATTCAAAAATTAGCAAACATACTCATGAACATGGCTCAAGCCAGTAAGCACAATTCCACAGAAAGTACAGACTGTAAAGCCACAATTACAGTTTGGCTGCCAAATTCACCGAGAAACTGGAAGTGACCTAACAGCTGTTCAAATAACCACAAAATATTAAAACACTCTTGTGAGAGATAAATTTCATCTTGAATAAGGCTATCCTCTCTCAAACAGACATTGGTTATTTGTCTATGATCACTCCATACAGACAGCTGTTTTCTCATCTGACTACCACACTGTATTCTCAGTTCCCCACGCACCCCTCAATCAATCTACATTCTACCTCCAGATAATTCATTTTTGAAATGAGGAACGATGTGGTAAGAAGTCCTGGTGCTGATATGGTCTCCACTGTGTGAAGGTGATTGATGTAAACTAAACACTACCAGGTCAGAGTATCAGACAGAAGAAAAATGTTTAAGCATGAACTCAAAGTCTAAGCATCAGGTCCTTTATACCCAGAGCAGTGATTTCATATGAACATTAATTTTCATTACACAAAATTCAGACAGACGTTTTTTAAGTGCTGGAAATCCAAGGATTACAGTAACAGGCTGAGAAAAGCCCAAGTCAAGTCAAATGAATGCTGGCTGTTAATAAATTTCCCAACACAAAAACTAACACGAAATGGTGACTTGGTAACACTTTTTAAATCGGACTGGAATTCTTTTCACACATACAGTAAGATTTATCTGACCCTAACGCAGACATCTGCATCAGAAATGGTCATGTGAACTCATTTTAGAGTTAATGGAAAGCAATATATATTTCTGCAGCACACTAGGCCTCAACCTAAGTCAGAGCCCTAGAATAAACCATCTGATTCTTCCGAGTGATTACCAGGAGAAATGCAAACTATTAGTTCACAGGTATATTTACAAAATTAGATGAATCACACACAACCTTTCAACAGGCCTCTTTAAAATTATGAGCTCTATTTTGCTTAGTGAGGGTCGAAATGAAATACATACAATGTGATAATACCACCAAATTCAACTGAAATTTAAAGCTAAGGAAGCTGAGTAACAGATGCATTTATACCAGCATGGTATAAAGATTTTTTTTCTGCAACGGGAAACCACAGAGGGAGCTTTTAAGCAAAACCCATGTAAACGTGAACAACTTATAAACGTTTCACGTTTTACTTAGGAGTATTCAAGTGCTGTAGGAGACATTTTGATTTACTGTCGTTCACTCTTCATTATACTAAAGGCATTTTTTATACATAAAATACATCCTCGTCTGTACATCAATCACCTTTTCACATGGATTACCACCTGCACCTCTAATTTTCTCAGGAGACAAAGAGGCCTGTATTTGCTCAATTTCAGTAACATTTCAGTTTTTAAGCCCTACAGAATGGTTAGAGTAGAAGCTTAGGTATTACCTCCAATACTGCTCTAGGTTGTCTCTTCTGAAAACTCTATTGATTATGCTCCTTTCAGCAATACATATTCACTGGCCAGACAATATTTATGTTAAATATTCATAACCTAAGCTCTCCAAACCCCAAAGAAATCAAAAGAAATCACTGCAATACTTATCCTCTAAAAGAATTAAATTAGGTCTGATTTTAAATATCCATTTCAAAGTACATGCAATGCCTCGCTGTACCAGGGAGTGCCATCCATCACAACTCTCATCCCAGACCGCTGACTCATTCAAGATCCTTTCCTAGAGGTTCAAAAAAATATCAAGGTACTGATGCCAAGTTTTACTCTGTATGCCCTCTTTATTTCCTCCTTAGCAATTTTTTATTATTCCGTTAAAAGCCCTAAAAAAAACCTATTGTACTGTACCGTTTTCCGAACTAAGAATATTGAAACAAGGCACTGTCCTACGCGTAGATGGCAATTTGAACATTCAAACTTAGTGCTTGGTAACCTGGAGCCAACTTGTGTTATAAAAGGGAGTACCAAACAGAACAGCGGAAGGAATTCTGCTGCAACAACTGCAGAGGGCTTTTTTTCCCCTGCACACAAAGGACACGGGTACATCCCTACCTCGGCGCTACAGCCGCTCATGGCCGCGAGCTGCGCCGTCCCTGAGCGCAGCGCTGGACTAAGCACGGCACGGGCCAACCAATCCTTCGTGCCCAACCAAGACTCCTTCCTCTCTTCTCTCCCTACTCGCTGCTAACAAGAACTCGGTGATTTTTAATTGACAACCATTACACAAGCAGGCCTCGAGCTTTTAGGGCCGCCGGTTGACTCATCTCTCGCACCTTAAGAATGTAAAAGGGTTTCGTTCTTGCCCCGCGTCTCCCAGACGAGAGCAGGAGACCGCCCGATTCCATTTTATCTGCCCTAAAGGCAACTCTCACCCTTGCACACAACCGCTTTCAACGCTCGGGTTTCCTAGGGAACTTTTAAGGATACCACAGAATGGGTTATCCGGGACGACAGCCCGCATTAAGGAGCTGGGAAGCGGGATTACCCCTTTGTGTTATTCGCTTTTGCCGCTTCCCACTGGCGTTTAGCGGATGATGGATGACAGGCCGGCCTCCCCGCCCTGCCCCCCTCGCCCTCCCCCGGTGCCGGAGCAGCGGGAGGAGGTGCCGCCGCCTCGACCCACCGATAATGGCTGCGAGGACGGGATCGACTGCGGCCCCTCGCTCCCGACCCCGGCCCCAGCTCGGTCACACCCCTGTGCCCTGCCGCCCCCCGCGTTTCCGCAGCCCTCCCTGCCACATCCAAGCAGCCAGGGTACAAGGAGGAAGGAAAAAAAAAAAAAAAAAAGAGAAAAGGAAAAAAAAGAAGCCGGCCTTCTCCTTTCCTAGGATCGAGCTTCCCCCCAGGAGCACCTCCATCCCCTACGCCGCTCGGGTCCCCTTCTCCACTCTCATCTCACCCCCCCGCCTTCACCGACCCCTTTCCTATGGCCACCCGCCCGCATCGGCTCAACCCGCCCCCCCTTCTTCCTCCCCGTGCCTCCTCCTCCTCCCCCTCCTCTCCTGCTGCAAACGGCCATTTCTATTGTGTCTCTCGGTGCCAAGCCGAGCAGGGATCGCCCCGGCCGCTGCCAGCCGCACAGCCCGGCAGAAAATGGCTGGAGGGGGACGCCAGACCCACCCAACCCCCCCCTCCTTCCTCCTCCCCGCTTCCCGGCCGCCTTCCCGGCCCCCTCCCGGCCGAAATACCCCCGGGGGGCCGCCGGGCTCAAGGAGCGCCGCGTCCCTCACCTGTGGTGAGCCGGGAGGACACCTCTCCGAAGGGCGAGGGCTCCATGCGCAGGTATTTCTGCGGGGAGGAGGCAGCGGCGGCGAAGGAGGAGGAGGCGGCTGAGGCCGGGGCTGACAATGGCGCACATCGCCTTCGCTTCGGGGACGCCGGGCTCAGCAGCGGGTCGAAATCCAGAGTCCTTTTCAAAGTGGCGCCGCAAGCCATGGCGCGGAGCGGCCAAGGGGGCTCGGAGCGAGGGGCGGCGGTGGAGACAGCAGCAGCCGGCCCTGCCCAGAGGCGTCTTCCCCGCTGTCTGGAGTGGGCTGGGGGGGAGGGAAGGGAAAGGAGGGGGCGGCTGCGTCAGGGCCGCCTCCGCCGCCTCCCCGCCGGCCTCTCTCTAGGGAGCGGCCCCGGCAGCGGCAGCAGCAACCCCGGCTCAGTCCAGCTGGATCTCCGCTCTCCTCGCCCGCTCCGCCCTGCCCGGCCGGGACAAATTCCGCCCGCGGCCGGTGGCGGGACAGAAGCAGTGCCGAGAGACGCGGTGCCGGTCCCAGGTGCGCGGTGCGGGGCGGCCGATGCGGGGCGATGGCGATGGCAGGGCCCGGGCGGCGGCGATGGCGGCGGCGATGGCGCTCCCGGCCGTAACCCCCGCACCAGCAATATGGCGTCAACAACAACGCCGCCGGTTCAAACGCCAGCCCCCCCCGGCGCAGAGGCTCACGGGACTCGTGGTTTCCCCGCCCATGCCCACGCCACTCAAAGGCAGGGTGGCCACTGGGGAGCTGGGACTACAGCTCCCGGCGTGCACCGCGCCGGCAGGGTAGGCTTCCGGGGTCTGGTTTAAATCCCCCCTGGGAGGGTGCGGGCCGGGGTGTGGGTGAGGTGGGAGCTTGGGGAAGGGCTGGCGGCTTCCCCTGGGACGTGGGGACACAAAAGGGGGAACGGTCCCGTCCTGCCTCCTGTTAGCGCAGGTGTGGAGCGGGCCGGGCGGCGGATGTGCGTCCGCGTGGCGCTTGTCGGCATGTGAAATCGGGGGCAAAGTGCGTTTAGTGGCCTCCATGGCGAGGGCAGAGCAGGGAGCGGGCGGCAGGCCGAGGTGGCAGCTGAGGACACGCACGGAAAGGCCTCGCGGTGTCGGGATCCGTGTCACGGCGTCACCGAGTGGTTTCCTTGCAGTTGCATAAAGCACATTCTTGCTTAAGGAGGGTGGTGAGGGAAGAGGCTCAAAGAACTGTAAAGCTGCTGCTGGGAAGAGCTTAGCAGCTCTTTCCTGTGCAGCTTCCTGATTGAAGCAAACTGTGCTACAGGTCACCACAGCGGGAGAGCGAGCAGAGGTTTATAACCCACAAAATATATGTAACTTCTATGTTTTCTGTATCTGCTTTTGGTAATTTAACCATAAACACAAAGGCATGTTGTCTTTGAAAGACAAAATTATGAATATGCTATCATAAAGTTTTAACACTTTGGTGGTTTTTATTGTGTTCTGACGTGTAAGCTAGGCTTCCTCTAATGGCACAAAAAAAACCCCAAAAACCTTAGCATCCTTTGGAAGCAGGATTTGCTGTACATGTTTGGTGTGTGGCATGTATTGTTAATTAAACCAGTCAGTCAAAACACCAGTCTGATTGTGCTGCTCTGGGGGTAGCTGAGCTTTCGGGGGTGGGGTGACCTAGCAGAGCCTTCCTTCACAACAAATTATTTGTTTTCTGAGACAGATAACTTGTGACAGTGTTGGTGCAATTAGTTGAAGTTTACCTTATGCTTCTCTGAGTTGCCTTGGCCTAAAATTAATCCTACAAAATTGCTAAATGAAACCTCTGCTGTGAGCTGTTCCTCAGAAGGGGAAGTACTTGGAGTGTTTCCTTGGAAATAAGGATGCTGACAAGCCTTGCTAAAACTAAGTTCTGCTTCTCTGCAGCAAGATTCAGGAAATGTACTGATGTTATTACAGTGTTACAATTGTCCTACTATTAGTGTACTGGTATAACTGCTTCTGTGGACACTCTTCTTTGGAATAATGCTGGCTGGTTTTCCATTCATTTAATCCTTCATTTCCATTCCATTTCCCTAAGCATATAGCTTTCCCTCTGTTTGGGCACTGGTGTTGAATATTCTTACCAAGCACTTAACCCAGCAAGACTAAGGCAAAATTGCTCTTGCAGGCTTTGAATTAAGGGAACCCCAAGTGTCTCTCAGTGTGTGTAAGATGTACCTGTTTAGTTGGAGTGCTCTGTGCCCTGCTTCTGCCATCATTTGTATGCTGAGAAGTGCCTGTGTTTGGGTGTGGTAGTGGGGAAAAAAAAGATAAGTTTCAGAGTAACCAGTACTTCCCCACTGAAATTATTATTTTAGATATATATTCTGCATTCAGCAGCAGAAGCAAGGATTTGGTGACATTAACCATGTGGCACTAGATCCTAAGGACCATTCAGGCACAATTTAATTCAATTAAGACAGTCTGAGGAATCAGGTGAGACTTCATCAAGATAAGCTACTAGAAAGTCAGCTTTTGCCAGCATAGGCAGCACTATAATTGTAAGCAATTGATTAGAACGGTGATTGTCCTAATCAACAGAGTTATTTGGCTTTTATCTGACCTTTAATTTGTTGAACTAAACTGAAGCAAGTCTGATTTAGGTCAAAATAAGAATTCACATAGCCCTCTGCAGCAAATTAAACCCAGACAAACCAACATTGCTTTGCATGTAGACAAGCCCTAAGGCAGCAAAATGTCCAACAGCAGTGACAAAGTGCTTGATGGTTGTCAGGGAACATAACATGTGTTTTTACTTTCATTGTGGCAGGAAACACCATAGGGTCAAGGTTGCAAACCACTGTTTATATTGTTCTTTCTTCTACTTACTTATTATATAACCAATTTGCAGTGCCCCATTATGTGCTACATGGGGTGCCTTTAAAATTATATATTATAGGCATCTTTTAAAATAAATAGTACCCACAAATTTTATTAATACTGGGAGTGGGAGAGCTGATTCATAACTGGCATTGTGCTAGATTTTATTCAATAGGTACTTCGAGCATGGCACCTGTTAAAAAAGGCATGTCCTGACTCAAGACTATATTCTGACCTCTGTACAGCCCTGATTGAGGTGGGAAAGTAACCCTTTCAGTTTATTGCTTTGGGATGGTGATGGAAATATCAATATTAGGCTTTTGTGCATTCTCTTTTCTTCCCCTTCCTTCCATTGCTCCATTTCTCCTTTTCTTTTCTTTTTTTATGTCTTCCTCTCTTCTATACCTCTATTCTCTTTCTATACCATCTTGACTTTGCTTCCTATTCCTTTTTCTTGAGACATCCTACTCATTTGATGCAGGATCCACATCACAGGTCCTGTCTTTTCTTCAACACCATCTAACCATATTCTCCCCACTTCACCTGTGGCTCGTTTCTCATTAACCAGTTGTGTTTGCCAACACAGGACCATGGATTGGCTGAATGAGTTTCTAGGGCTCATTCATTTCACCACGAGTGAGCAAAATTCACTTTAAGTGATGTCATGCCACTTGAATTTGGACATGGGTACCAATGTATTACATACTTATGTATTAGGTACACACTGTGGTTGCAGATTTTGTGGACAAAATGCAGTGGTGGTTATGTGCCATTATGTCACTGAAGTGTTTGTATGGTACCAAGTGAGAAGGGATTACTTAAGTTGAAAAAAAATGGAGGTTAGTACAGGAATTGTAAGGTGGAAAAAACAGCTGAAAGAAAACTGGAATAAATTTCTCAGCCTGCTTTGCTGTATCAGAGCGTAGATGGTACTGGCCAAAGGGAAAGGATACACAGGAACAGGAATGACAGGCAGAGGTCAGTGAAGTTCAGCTCTGCTTCTTTAGATGCTGACTTACGCTGATAAACTGTACCAAAAATTATGACCTGAACCTCTAGTGTGCACTGACTTTCAATAGGACAAATCTGTTTCTTAGGCCTGAGCTACTAAACTATTGCCAGCAGAAGTGCAGAAGTATATTTTCCAATATAAAAGACATTCAGAACACCTATTTCCTCTAAAATACTGTATATACTTACAAATAATCAGAAAATATAAATTAAAACCAGAATCTGTATAGGAAAAGGTAAATGAGCTGATTATATAAAAGGGTAAAAATAGCCCCAGGAAATTAAAATGTTGTTATTTAAGTGTTACTGCCCTACTAATTGTTGAATTCTATGTTTTTTTCCTAAAAGCACAAGGAAAAAGTAATTTCAGGAGATCTATTGTAATGCTGAAGACTATGTTGTGATACAGGAACTGTCAGTTATCTCACCCAAACTGGAAATAAGAGGAAGATTTATAGGGGTCAGAGGAATGCGTTTCCAGAACACTCTCCCAGTAGCACCAGTATGGGTGAAAATAAACCCCAATCTGTAGTTGTGGGTTAGGTGGGCTTTAGGTAAGTCTTAGTATTTTTACAAAAAGGGATTCTGTGATTTTGATGTTTTCAGTGACAGCAGACCAGTAAGAATAACCCAGGAGGTTTTGTAATACAAAATGACAATAACAAAGTGGAATTAAACATTTTGCAGGTGTGCTGGTTTTGGCTGGGATGGAGTTGATTTTCTTTTCAGTAGCTGATGTGGGGTAAGTTTCGGATCTGTGACCAAAACAGTGTTGATAGTACAGGGATATTTTCATTTTTGCTGGGCAGTGCTCGCATGGCATCAAGGTCTTTTCTGCTTCTTATCCCACCAATGAGAAGCCTGGGGGTGCTCAGGGAACTGGGAGAGGACACAGCCAGGACAGCTGACCCCAACTGCTGAAAGGGGCATTCCACATCAGATGGCATCATGCTCAGCATATAAAGCTGGGGAAGAAGTGGGGGGTGGAAATTCATGGTCGTGCTTTTTGCCTTCCCAAGTCACTGTTGGGTGTGATGGGGCTCTGCTTTCCTGGGGATGTCTGAACACCTGCCTGCCCACGGAAAGCAGTGAATGACTTCTTGCTTTGCATTGCTTGCGTGCACAGCTTTTGCTTTCCCTATTAAAGTGTCTTTATCTCAGAAAACTCTTATGAGTTTCCTCACTTTTATCTTTTCAATTCTCTCCCCCATCCCACCAGGGGAGTGGCTGTGTGGTGCTTAGTTGCTGGCTGGAGTTAAAATGTGACAACTTGAAAGGGTATGAAGCAGGAATAACCCATTTGAGTCAGTTCACCTATATTCAGAATTATATATTGAAGCTATAAAAAGAAAATCACTAAACTCACTGGTGTATATGCATGAATTGTGCTAACAGACCTGGATATAGAGTAATTAGGAAGCACTGAGTAAAATTTTACAGCTCTGACTACTGCAATTAGCTCAATGACTTCAGAAAAGCATCAACTAGCAAAGCATGGATCAGTACTCTTTTCTATCTGTTGTTAGTCACAACCTCGTGTAGGATCACCAAAAAAAATCATGGTGTATAAGGAGGGCAGTGTCATAAGGTACTGGAAATGTTACTGCATAACATAAAGAAAGATTGCCTTACATCACCATGTCCTGAATACCCTTACACCCCCAATGTCAAACATTTTTTACACAAATGTTTTATATGGTGCCTATCAGTTTTCCTTCTCCCTTTTACTATTGTTAAGAATTCACATTTAAACTTCCTATATAATTTTCCCTGCCTGGATTTTGGACAAATACTGCACCATGTTAGACTCTGCTTTGCTATTGATCTTAAATAAAAATGGTACAGTGCTTTAGCAGAAAGGAGAACTGTACTTTTTATGAAATGAGGGTTTTTTTCCAAAATATTCTCTTACATCTTTGTAAAATAACTTTTCATAATTGATTCTAAGGATA